GATGATATAAGAAATACTGTCCTCTGGGCTCAAGGAGCAATTCTGCTAAGATTCTCCTCTTGTTCTAAAATGCTAATTTCATGAGAAATGACGAAACACATTCTTTCCTCAAAAGCTCTCCATGAAAGCTATTAAACATGACTGCACAAACACAGCTTACACATATTAACTATATGTGTTATTCTGGCACACAGCAGTGATGGGATAATATGTAAGTCTAAAAAAAAGCATAAACCCTCAAACAAACCATATGTATGGAAGAAAATAGCTTTAACAGATGTCTCATCTTAGAGTTTTGTGAATCATAGTTTGGTAAATGAAGACCTGAATTGCTCTTCCAAGCCATTACAAAGGCCTCCCTTTAACTGTAGAAGTTGGTAAGGAACTTGAGCAATAAGCTGTCCATTTATAAGAAGAGGGTGCCATATATCCAAGTGAATCCATTGGGGTAGGTCATCCAATGGAAGGTATTTGCTACATCAGTCATGAGAAACACTGCCTGCCAGTCACCATGTTTTTAAAAAACTGAGCCCTTAATAAGGAGGCTCATTATCTCACTCAATAAGACTGCTATTACCTTCAGGGTCAGGATCAGAATCCATAATGATACTTTGCATTAGACGGGGGAAGGACAGGAAATACAATATGACCTAGATGGTTGGCCATCAAACAAGCAGGTTACAAGTTCCTGAACAAATGTATTGAGTTATAAATTCTCTCTGAAAGGGAAAACCAGAGAAAACTGAGGGAGAAGACTGTGCCCTTATTTCGCAGTCAAAAAATAATTTAGCCCAGGAAGAATTTCCTAACATTGAGGGTCTTTCATCAAAGAAATTGGTCACTAATACACATGATACAATCTTACTCAGAAGCTTTTAACACCAGATTGGATTTTCATTGGTTTTGGATGAGAAGAAAGTAGGTGGTGAGGGTAGTAGACACAAGATGAAGAGAGGTATAACGTATGCACTCTAGATGCATTACAGATCTAGGAAAACCTGATTCCTCATCTCCTCCTGAATATGGACAAATATTAAACATATTTTATACAGAAGTTATGACTAAAGTGAAACATTATCACATCCTAAAATTGTCTTTGTTTTTCTGTACCTAAAAGTTATCCACGATTGTCTATATTAGCTTAATTATTAATTTGCCTTTATTCCTTGTTCTCACTATTTTGCACCTTTACTTTTTCTGGGAATTTAAGAAGTCAAGCAGTTATGGTTCACAGTTAAATATTTTTACATTTTGTAATTTTTTTTAACAATAGATGAAAAATTTTGTTTGGCTCCTAGGACAGATATTACAAATATACTTCCTTTAACTCTCAGGAGGTTAATCATAGTTCAAATCATCCTAGGCCATTTCACAGGAGAGGGCTAAGCCATAATTATGCAAAAAAGCTTTGCTTTGATATGCACAACTACTGACCTTCTGAATTTATATATTTATAAGCATTTGAATAGTGGAATTAATAATGGTACCTTAGTGATAGTTTCCTTTTTAAATTACTATTCTTACAAAGAGAGTAAGCATGTTATTCTTGTGACTTCATTAAAGACAAGTTGATACTCGCTTTAAACAAAAAGAAATAAAACCTGAATGTCTATATATATTTGAGTACTACTTCACATCTTAAATATAAAGATATGAAGTCATTTCAGTTTTTAAAGGATCTTGACAAACTAAGAGATAATTCTTTCAATAAATGCCCTGGAAAAAAAGAGAGAAATTGATTACATTTATCACAGGCTTTTCAATTTTAAAAGGATCTTGACAAACTAAGTGATAACTCTTTCAATAAATGCCATTGATTAAAACAGAGAAAATTGCACTTATCATAGGCTTTTATTTTTCTTCACCTTTTTAACTTTTTAAAAATTTAGACAGATAATGGAAAAATAACCTAGATTTTTTAAACATGTCATGTGAATTACACATTCAAGAATGAAGTTCAAAACGTAGACTTTTCATTGCTCATTCATCTATAATGTATATGCAGCAGTAGTTCGCTGACTCTGCATTTTATGTCAATGATTTGGCATGGTATCTTTTCCCAATGTGTCCCAGATGTTATGTCAAGTTCCGAGCATGTATAAAAAATGTACACATGCATGTGTGTGTGTGTTTTGGGGAGGGGGGGAATCAACAATAGCCTTCATAACTTGAATAAAAGCTGCTACTTAGGTCATATGAAATTTTACTATTTTTATAAAAATTTAAATGGTTTTAGTGAATGTTTATAAAATGTGCACTGCCTTATGGCCTTTAAATCTGACAGCTGACAACATAAATTTTCTGGATGATGATCAAGTACATGTTGATGCAGCTGCTGTCACAGTAAGACATACTGAAGCATCTACTTCAGTTTCAACTAGTTGAGCATGGCTCTTTTCCTTAAATGAGTACCAATGGCCTGTGACTTACACTAATGAGTACCTAAAATCTAGACTGCCAGTAAAAATAAAATCTAATTTTAACTCTGTGAAAGTTTGGGGGAGGTGGAAGATAATTTCCAACCACACGATTAATAGTGAATTTACATACTGAAAGGCATATTTCCAAAAATGAATAGTGTTTCAGAAAATCCAAGAGTTATGCTCTAAAGGAACAAAATCTGCATTGGAAAACATACACGTGTCTATAGAATAAGTCTACAACAAGTCTCCAATGTACTTTGCTGATTTTATTTGACTACGGGTCACTTCCTGTCCATCCTGTAGTCTGTACCCTTCTTGTCAAAGCATGGAAAACTTTTTAAGTTGTAGCATGGTTAGAAGATTCTTCACTGATGGGACAATGTTAATTGTTTAACAAGCAGTATTAAAGAGGTTTTAGGGTTTCTATTATTATATGTTATATATATAAATATATATAATATATATATTTATATATATTATATATAAATAAAATAGTATATATTTAT